CCCACAGTCCACATTGAAACATCTTGAAAAAATTTACTTATTCAAAAACGTTGTACAGAATTGAGACATTTGAAAACCGATCCCTGTTGCATTAGCGTGGACAGTGAAAACGGAGGTTTTGGAATGCTGACATCACTCACAACACATGCGCCTGCGTAAGTGATGGTTGTGTTGATTTCTCGTAGTGCACCAGCGTTTTCAAGAAGGTTTAATGTACACAGGGAAAAATGCGGCATAAAAGGCAGCGTGGATGCAATTTGCTTTTGATAAGTTTTGAGCAGGAAAATTCCTCATTTCCAAACGCATTTATGTGGATGAGTCCTGAATGTGACTTACCTGGTGTTTATGAGGATTATCAAGCAGAACAATCTCATTTAACTGGTAAGAGACCAAGGCATTCCCTCCAATTGCTAACACATGAGCTCTAAGGATTGCTTGAGCTTCAGCCAAAAATGCTTGCATAAATACGTTTAAACCACCATTCTAAGAAAAAACAAATAACACACTTGATAGCTCAATCAACTAGGAAAAAAAACAACTACAATAAAAAATATAGATTAGAACTTATTATGTACGAGTTTTCCATACCTCACGAACTGTGTGGCTTTCCCGTATTAAAAACAAGTTGATGTTGCCTAGGTAACTTTCAATCTGTGTATTTGGTAAGTACGACATTGATGTCACCTCAACAGCAGGGCGATATGGAACCTTAATTTAATGGAAAAACAAAACAGATATCTGATGAAGTGACTAATATATGGAACATTAAATGTAGAAATAGCATGAACTCGGAAAAGTGATCCGATATCAAGATGGGTTTGCACCCACGACCCTCCGTGATCCATATAATGTCCATTATTTGGCTGTGTGACCGTGCACTGCTGTCCCAGTCAAAGACCCACATTTCACCCTTGCTCACCGTAGAGTCTCCAGCAGCTCAGTGGTTAGAGCGTCCGGCTAGATCACGGAGGGTTGTGGGTTCAAATCCCATCTGGAACTCGGATTTTTTTCCGAGTTGATGCTATTTTTACATTTAGATATCTGACAACGTAATTATATCCTCATTCTAAGTTAACAATTGAATCCACAAGATTGATCAAAACTTATTTCTCCTTGCAATATCAAGACACTGTTCAGCAATAAGGTAATGATAAAAAGGAAAATCATTTGCTATGGGACACTGCCTCGATGCACCATCAAATTCTTATAACTAACATAATAGAAACTTGTGTGGTCGTCCGAGTGAGGGTAGTTTTGAAAAGAACTGTTGTTTTTTTTTGACTGACGTTTCAACAACTTGAGCGGAAGTCATCTTCAGAGTCACGTGAATCGTGTTTGTCAGTCGATGGTGTTATAAGTCTGGTCCGGTTAAAGTGATTGGTCAGTTTAGCCGTAATGGTGTTGGCTGTAAGATTCGTGTAAAGTTTTTCAGCAGTCATTGGTCGGTTGTAGTAACATTCAATCCGTCTATTGTTAGTCAAATTACGTCGGTCCATTTCGGTTTGTTTCAAACCATTTACTATGTTAAAATAGAAACGAACAGCAACCACTAAGGAGAATTAATGTGCTTATAAATATTTCGAGCTTGGGACTGAAAGGGCAAGAACCATGCTTTACAAATAAGTCATTTAGCATACCTTTGTTCTAACAGACAGCGGATGATCAAGGCATCTCTTAGGTTTTGATTCTGTAAAACAGATCAGCTCATGCTCAGCACTCATCCAAAGTAAAGCCTAGTACTAGAAAATACCTTTTACAGTTTCCACAGTCAAATCTCCTATTAGAACACATTGGGTTCTGGTAAACCCTCAATAATGTCATATTGTTCCAAGCAATTTTCTAAAAGCTTTATAGATATTATCATATTATATGTCAGATGAGAGTGCCTTGCTGAATAGCTTTCCCTTCTTTAAAACAAAAGTTAAGTGTGACACCCCAACTTTCCGTCGTCACTTTTGTCATCCTTGTCAGAGTATGTGGCTGTCCATGTGACAAGAATTTGTTTTGGTACAACAGTATTCGACAAAGGTGTACATAGATAGCATGATTATATTACCTGACTCAGAGATTATATTTTCCTGTGAGGCATTATCACCAACCTCTTCAATGGGAAAAAGAAGGTCATCAGATTCCATGCCACTTTCAGAGTTGTGTGATACACGAGAATAAGCTGAAAACCCATAATGAATACCCAGTCACTAAAGACATTTATAGCATGCCATAGAAAATACAGCCAATCAGAATACAGGAAAGCCGTTGTATACTCGACGGTATTACACCCAATCTTCCCATCGTGCGCATATGCCCCGCACGTATGTCCCATTGATTGTGCTGGCCACTGTATTTTCTATGACATGGTATAAAATAGTTATGCAATGCTCTCTCGTGATATACCATGGAATATCCCACTTGCCACTTGTATTTTCTTGGTGTACCGAGAAAATACAAGTGAGTTGTGGGATATTCCATGGTACACAAGGAGAACGCGTTGCGTAACTGGTATGTAGTTACAAAACAGATGAAGAAAGCAATATTAGTATACTACGTTACAACCTAATATCAATTTCAAGATAGCTGAGACACTCCCTGCAAAAGTTATCACTGCCATTAAAATTGCTTCTTGAGCAATACAGCGGAACCCCGATTTAACGAACTTCTATATAACGACGTCCTGAGTACAACGAGCAATATTCTTTGCCCCAGTAATGGTAAAATATATAATGGTAATAGGACTGAGTGGAGTCCAATTCGGTCTGTAATCATACGAGTGATTAACAAAATCGGACGACCGCGAACCGGGAGTCCGATTTGTTAATCACGAGTATGATTACAGACCGAATTGGACGACGCGAAGCCCTGTTACCAATTAATCAAAACTATGACAACATTCGAGAAACGAACAAACCATCGCCGATTGAGCGTTGAACGATTAATTATGTAAAAGGATTCCGATATAACGATACCTCATATTAACGAACATATTTTGCGTCCCTTGGCCTTTCGTTTTGTCAAGATTTCATTGCATGTGGAAACTTTCCCTATCGTCCTTTTCAATGTTGTTTCTGTTAGGGTCATTAGCTAGTGATTACTTACATTTTATCTAGCACTAGATTCTTAAAACTGAGGAAGCAAACTGTCAAATTAGAAACCCAACTGCTTTGAAAGCAGAACAGCCTGTCCCAGCGCAGTTGAAAAGGGCTGCAAGGCACCTTACTTCTCTCTCTCTCTTCCAAACTGTACTTACATCTGTCACAAAGATTTCTTTTGTTCTTGAGAGAACTTCCTTCTTCTACTTGCCTTTCCTCTATACAAAGTGCCACACCTGTTACGGCAACCTAAGAAATGATTGCCAAAGAAATAGTCCTTGTTTACTCAGCGTTATCACCAGAGAGGTCTCCAATATCGTCCACACAAAATATAAAGTTCTTGAACTGATGGAAGAAAAGTTACCTGAATATTGTCATCTTCTGGTATTTCGATATCAAAGTGAATGTTTGAAAGGCAACAGGGAGACTTGCTGCGAAGCTTGAACCAGAAGCTCTGAAGTACCAACAAAGCAATTAACTTTTCAGTAAAATTAACAGACGTAGTTACTTGTCTAGGAGAGTTGCATTTGGGCTGCATGTTTGTGGCACTATTTAAACTTTTCCGAAATACTTGAATTGCAATATGTAAAAGAAAGAGCAACAAACACTTTCAAAAAACAACAAAAAAACTAATGAACACCCCGTCAGTCACTCAGATGAAAAAGATGAATAGGCACACAGTCAGCGGTAAAAAAACCTCTGACTTGTTCAGAACAGGTCGATGGAGAGTTACTTTCCATGTGTAACATACTAGGCTCACACTATGTCAGGAGGGAGAGGAGACATTTACTAAGGCGTAGGATATGGACAAACACTTCAACAGGTGTGTTAAATATGACGAGGATGTACAGATGGAGAAAGAGTTGTCAATTAAAACACCTTACTTTGACTGTGTCTTCAAACAGCTTAGCAAACTGCTGATTTGTCCGTATGTCTTCATCACTAAGTGTTTTTCTCTGAACTGCTGTTATCATCTGAAAGAAATTTGGCATTAATCTGCAATTAAATTATTATATAATATGTCAAATTATTCTCATATTTTGATTGGTCCTTAATTATGATAACGTGGAGGACAGATGCATAGATAACATCATTAACATTTTTTTTGTTTCTTTATTATATTAAATGAATAAAATGCTATGTGGAATCTATTTGTTAAATTCTAAATGTTAAAAAGAATTGCTTCTCCCTAAAAAGCAGCAAATCTTGGACATACCTTCACTCCTGATTTAAGATTGATCACACCAGGAAGCGTCTCTGTGTTGCAGGAATAAAAACCTTTGAAGGTAGATAATAAACAAATGTTTTTAGAACATTTACATGATAACAACCTCAATGTTGGGGAATGATTTTGTCTAATCAAACTCTAAATTTCCCAATACTATGTGTCTTAAGAGTTTCAGTGAAATGCTGTATAACTATTTGCTGGTTTATGTGCATGAAAAAAGGAAAAATATCCAAGACGAAACCTACTCCCACCCATGAAGAGTAAGAAAACTAATGGACATTTCATGTCACAGTGTGTGCTGTTGGCTCGTAATTATTACTAGGCCAAAAAACAATTCCTTTCTGACCTTCAGGGGCTGGTTCATCAAGTAGAACGGCGACCACATCTTCATCTTTTTTGTCATCAACCTAAACGCAATGTTTATTTGCCTTCAGTTCTATGGAATCACCAAGTAACACATCCTGTGTTATAATAATGCTGCTTCAAAGAATGATGGACTTCACTTTAAAGCATGCACGATGACACACTAATTTCCTATTACTTCTTTGGCCACGATAAAACTTTGCCATGTACATGGCATATTATTCTCTAGTATCTGCACTCTGCATTAGCAGACTATTTGTAAACCCAAGTTTCAACAAGTCCAGATAATTAGCACTATTAAGCCTTTCTCTCCTAAGAGTACCCTTGCTCGTGTTTTAAAACCCCCAAAGTAGTAAAATATTGAAAATAAACAGTACACATAGCAATAATGCCCAGTACAACACAGCATAATAAATGGCATCAAAAGAACTTGGACCAAAAAGGAATAATTAGCTTTACCTCTACAACATATGCATCTTTTGGCCCTGTACACAAATCAAGGTCTGCCTTGGGACCTTCATCTTGTTCTAACTCAGGCATGATCACTGCTTGAACCTTCTGTGATGGACTTGGTGGTGGCGTTCCCTTAGGAGTCTGCTGCAAATAGAAAACTACACTCAAACTTTAAATCTCACAAAAAGTGTTTTTGTATAACAAAATAGCACCCAATTCTAACCTTAAACAAAATGCATGCAAATTGGCTCTAACTTGTAGAAAGTGCATGGAGAATGGTATAGGCCAAAAGGCGCCATCATGGGTTTTGTACCTGACTCGCCAAGATGGTTTATATTTGCTTTGAATAGTTATTAACAGCATGTTATATTAATCTCGTATTCTTTTTTAAATGTTTTAAGAATATGTATAATTTAGACAGTTTGAACTTTGTATCGTTTCGAACTTGCAACAAACCTTTGAGAAAGATTGATTATCTAACACTCAGTGTCCCGTTTAGTCGCACAGAATCTTCTAAGAACTCATATTTTATACGGGTTTGTCGCTCATGGAATGAACTACTTCTTAACATCAGGGAGTCTAACACCTTGTCAGTCTTCTGCAAGAAATTGTTTGCTTATTTTTATGATAAGTTCAGCGCTAATTTTTTATCGTGATTATCTTATTTTTTAATATGAGTTTAGAGTAATTTTTAACTAGGTATACAATCATACAATGATACACTAAGGTGGCTTATATTAAGGAATCTTGTATTCTGTTTTAAGCTGTCCTCAAAGTCATTGGATTGACTTGTTCAATGTAATGTAATTTGGAATTTTTATTAAAGATTAAAGATTAAAGATTAAAAAATTGTATTTCTTGCCACAAAGCTCAACAAACACAATTTGGCAATAAGCAAACATATTTGGATGAGGCCATATGAAACTGAATACAATAATGGGAAAAACTGATCATGATATTGTAAAACTAAATGTAGGTTCTTACTATAAGGACAGTATCTTTAAGTCTGAAGCTGGCTCTATTCTTGTTGGTTGTCTCCAAAATTTGCTTCTGGATCTCAGCAAGTCGCTTATCTTCTTCAGTAGACAAGTTACGCTGTTAAGAGAAAAAAGCAGGGCTATGTAAATCCTGTCTTCTTTATGCTGCTAGGTCCCATGAGTGTTAACAGTGATGCAACATTTGAGTTATACAGGGAATAAAGTGGGAAATGTAACTTGGGGTTAGTGATGGTCAGCTAACATGTTTAAAACATACAGAATCTGTTTTGCAAGAATATTAGGAATTGATTGCTTTGTTCTTTTTGAAAATGAGTTTAAAACTACTAATTAGTGAGCACTTATTGCCCTCACTTACCCGTCCAGTGATCTTCAGTAATGGTGGTGCAGGCAACGCAGCCAGGAAAACTGCTGTGGATGACTGCAAAAAAGAGATGTACTTCATTACAAAAAGTAGCTAACAGAACAGCAGTTATAGCCCACAACACCACAGTAACATGGCAATGAGAATGACGGTGGCTCATCTATCTGCTCCATCAAGAAGTGTAAGGAAACAGGCTTCAGACATACAACATACATTTTCTAGCTGCTACTAATTCCAACAACTTGATAACAATAGCAGTTCATCAACATGTGCTTACATATGCATTATTTTTCACGTGAAGTTAGGACAATGTCAAATGTACAGTAGACAATATCATTAAAATACAAACAACCAAAACAGCTTACCGCAGTTCCAACAATAAGGCTCTCTCCTACTGATATCTGAAGGTGAAGTCCAAAAAGTGCATTCATGCCCTTGACCTATCAGGCCAAAAAAAATTTTCAAGAGACTTCTCGACTAATTGTGAGGTGCAACCAATAACAGTGTTATTGTTCTTGGTGGAATCAAAACTTAGATCACTTTGAAATGGAAAACAGGAAATAAAGCGGTATGTCAACACTTGACCCTAGTGGAAGACATTATAGCAGCTCTATGTTGGCCACGTGGGAATTTAGTCTTCATCAATTAGCTGATCAGGACTTACCTGACCGTGGCAGATAGGGTAGCAAAGAATACTCATGGATTTCAGTGAACCACCAGAAGGATACAGAGGGGAAGATTAAGGCTTATTAAACTTAACTAAGAGTGAAGATGGACATAAATCTTGCAAACCACACACTTTTCTCATAGACTAGTCCAGCTTACTATGGCTGACTTTTCCGAACTTACCTTTAATTTGTTTAACAGTTGTTGGTGCAGTTCATATTCTAGAAATGGTAAGATCTGGAGAGAGATAAAAAGTGGGCCAAAATGAAATTTATAAAAAAAGTAAGCATGAAATACAAATGCCGTGTGTTTTGTCAATTTAAAAAGGGGAAAGCAGCTGCCTTTATGTTCTAATCAATTCCCACAACTAATATTAATATATGTCAGAGTGAACTAGCTTAGTACTAAGGGATTTGAGGTGTGAAACAGTGATTGCCATGCTCACAAATGACAAAACTAAATTAAATTCTGGGGTCTCATCTTTCACAAAACATTCAAACAGGAATGAAAGAAAGTTCAATTACCAAATCACTAACTGCCAGAACATGTACTTACAGAACTAACAATATCAGCATTTGCTTCACCTTTCTCCTTCTTTTTGGTTCTACAAACCCTGTGATAAGACACATTAGTTACATACCTCGAATGTTGTAGGGTTGGAGAACTATAGTACACCTGTGTAAGTCTAAGTTTCTAGCTAGATATGTTAATTGTGTTATTACCGCCCAACCTAGAGCTCTTCTAGGGGTGGGGTACAAGTCCAAACAAGGTTATATCTTAACATTGACACCAACAGCAACAGTAACAACATTGATGATGCCAAAAGGTGGAGAGATTGCTCCATCACTTGACATGATGGGTTCAGGTATTCAATCGCTAAATCCTTGCAGCATTTTGGAACTCCTGGCTGGGAATTACTACCACTGTGGTTCTTAATAACAATTTTAATAATTATAATTTTATTACTTATGTATATAGCGCAAAATTCATTAACATATATGATCTAATGCACTTTACAAATACTATAAAATAGAAAAATCATATCTATATGTAAAGCTAAGAAATCTTAAATAAATTAAATGTAAGAAAAATATGCTTGCTTAAATAAGTGTGTTTTAAGTTCTCTCTTAGATAAGTCCAGAAGCCTCCATGAGGTGCATAACTTAAGAAATTCAAAATGAATACCGAGCCTGAAGAAGACAGCCTGTACCAACAATGGGTGATTCAACAGGAGGTTCTATTGTAGCAAATATTACATCAGGAACTTTCTTATGCCTGTTAACAAATGAAAAAACAAAGGAATTTACTTACAATATTTAAAAATCAAATTCAATATTGAAGCTACCAGCCTTTAAGCAGGCAATGACAAAAAAGGTCAGCCCTCAACTCCAGTTTGCATAACATGAAGCAGCTTGGAGTATTGTTACTCCACCTAGGTGGGATGTTAGTCCATTGCAGATTACTCCCCAGTATTCTGTCAGGTTGCTCCAACAATTCACCAGTATCAATTTATACACTGGGGTGGAGAGAAGCACTGTGAGGGTAAAGTGTCTTTCCCAAGAACACACCACAAGACCCCTGGCTAGGACTCGAACTAGAACTTCTCAACCCATGAGGACCATAAGTCACAGGTCACACCTCACACGGATGCTTGACACATTGAATGAAACATGATAGGTACGATGAACAAAAATACTGAGCTCTCTTTTGACTATACCCTTCATGAACACTTACCGACAAACTTGACATTTTGAGAGTATAATAGGAAAAGGTAACTCTACATCAGAATAAGGAATATGGCACACTGAACAGCCAGGCACTGGAGACGTTGACAAGATCTCTTCACCAAGTGATGTTCTGTGAGTTCATTAAAAAGATACAAATAAATGGATTAACTTAATTATCAATAAAGGCATTACCAATCATCTTGATTACAAGAGCTGTTGGTTAGAAGTTAATGCATTCTCCAAGTAATTCTGGAGGCACATCAACACTAGTTAATATCATCGCACTATTTCCTTTACTTACCCCTCCTGTTCAGTGACATCAATGGTGACTGGTTCAAGTGGATCTGTGTGACTTGGCAAAGCTGGTGGGAAACCCTGGCCTTTGTCCACAACAGGAGCTACAAGATGAATAAATCAGGACAAATTCTGTTGCTGATTCTCAGAGCCACTTATAACGACTGACAACACTGTTACAAAGAAGAGAGCCACAGTGCCGATGGTTAGCTAGTTGTAGTCTAGACCTGAAAAAGCTAACAATAACCACATGAAAAGTTGGGACAAAACTTACAGCATTCTACTGGTGTTTTTTGACGTGTTCATGGAACATTATCAACGTTAGTTCAATCTATTGCAATGTCATAACACCCAGACAAATGTGTGATCTAGTGCAAATACATACAAAGAATGCCATGGGAAATTCCACTGGGTTCTGTTGTGGCTGACTGCAGGTCTATACACGCTGCTGTCCCTGATGCCGACAGCACTATTAGCTCATCACTATGAAGAAGAACAATAGTATAAAAATATGTTTATTGTCTACTGTTACCATTGCAGGGTTGCCACCCACCGCAACAAAAACATCCCTGACTTTTCACTGGCTGTAAAGCAATTTTTACTGATCGTGCAGGATAATTATTCTTGCCATGAATCAACAAAAATAAGGATGGCTCAGATAATTGCTAAACCAAAATTCCCTTGTGTATACGGAAACATCTAAGGAAATAATTTGCCGCAACCTTACATGTAAGATAAAATTCCCTGACTTTTCACTGACTTTGAGCACGGATTTAGAAATTCCCTGACCTGACACAAAACTCCCTGACTTTTCCTTGACCTTGAATAAAATCTAATTTTCCCTGACTTTTCCCTGACTATGGCAACCCTGCATAGTAAGTAAAGAATCAAGAGGTGAAACATGTAGTTCAAGTTATGGTATTTTGAGAAAGGTTGTTCCTTGTACAGAACTGTAAAAATGTCTGCAAGAAGGCTGAACTGCACTACAGGTAGAGGGTAGAAGAATCCATGAATTCCACTTACATCACAGCTTCAATCGCTCATTGGTGAACTACCTGTAATACCTTGCCACATTGTTGTGCACAACAGTTGTGCATGAATAAGTGAGGCAAAATTGCTTACCATATGCTAGTGACTTCATAGTATCCTATTACTGCATGACAGCCAAGAGCTCTAGCATGAGAGCGGATCTCCATTCTCACTTCACTCCACCAGGCGTCTCGTGTTTCTGGTTCATCTGGTGTTAAAAGGAACAGAGCTGTACTCTAGAAGTGCCCAGTTGCCACAGGCAACTAAATTTTGCCTTAAGGTGACTGGAAAAACATAGTACTTTTTTCATATAAGATTAAGTGCTGGGCACCCAGGATTTCATGGTTAGGAACCTTTGGGCTCCTCAGAGTGTTTCCTACACCACAACCTTGAAGAAGCAAGCAAGATTTATGACTTACGTGTAGTAAGTGAAATGGGTCACGAACCAGATTAGACCTTCTTGAATACCTCATCAACTTACAGTTTTCATTATGAGTAACAGCCTTGTCTCAAATGCAAGGTGGCAACAGAGGAATTTACTGGACATGGTGTGATGTAGCCATTGAACAAAACCTTGGCTATAGAGAAGAAATCATGGTTGTTGATAATATAAAGTTATTGGCAATCACGATTTCTTTCCTAGAGTCATGTAGTATATCTTTGCCTATGTCTGAGGTCACAGTGCATTCTTGCATTTACAGTGCTCCAAAAAAGTGCCGTCCAGTTGTCCAGGGCAGGTAGATTTTCCCAACGGGCAAGTAACTTTTCATTCTCACTTGCATGATGGGCAAGGGCCCAGTTTAGTCATCTGCCAACTAAACAAAAAATAATTAACTAAGACTTGCTCAGGGCAAGCAAAATCTTAGAGCTCAATGTCCAAAGGGCAAGCTGGAATTCAAGTTTTTCTAAAGCCCTGATTTACCAGTAAGATAGGACTCTACCCTTAAGCCCTTCATACATGTAGATTTACTGAAAATGGTACTTTAAACTGTTCCAGACTATGGTACATAACAGAATGATCTTTCATTGGTTCATGTACCTGGGTGATTGATTTTATCCAGAAGTTTCACAGATCTTGCTGTTACAACACCGCCAACGTGTCTCAAAAAACCAGCTGGGAACTTTGTAATGGTAAAGAATGGAAACTCCTGAAAGATGTAAAACAATCTACTTGTCTCCAATTCATGAGTGAACTTACCTAGACATATGCTGATTACTTACAGTTTGACAATGGACATGGACACGAATACAGTTCTGTCTGGACATGAGCTATTACTGATGGTTATTGCAAAGTTCAACATTACTAGTAATACCAATTCATTAGTCATCTCCTTAGTATGAGATTCTATTGGCTTAAAGATCGTCATCTATTGCNAACACATTCCAGTTATGTTGAGAAATGTAGAGAATGATTGCTTTCTCTGGCATTCTCTTGACTTATAAATATTCTCAAATCTCAGATGCATTTTAAGATGGTAAAAGCCATTTTATTTAGCTTTTGGCTTCTTTATTATTTTGTGAAATGTAGAGTAAAGAAGAAGTTACAGTATTTATGGCACAAGAGGGCGGGGCTGCCAAACTCCTGGGCATTTCAGGATATACCAACCACTGCAATACATTATTAGTGTCTACTTGGCAGAGGCTTCCTTATAGAGAGAGGTGTGAGTATTCCCATGGAATTTCATTTCTCCACCCTCCTAGCCCCTGCGCAGTCAACATACAAGGTCACAACAGCAAAAAAAGAGGCATCTTCAGGAGAGATAGAGAGAGAGGATATAATACAAGCCTTCAAATTTTCAAGAGAAAAAGGATAGTAAGGCCATAGAAACTACTGTAGACGTGATCTTTCTTTTCCTTACAATTAAGCAAATTTAAAGAACTGAACTACGCAAATTAAAACAATGTATGATGACGACGATGATGATGATTAATTGTTTAATCCATGCTAACCTTTAGGTGGAGATTCTGAGCCTGGATCTGAATCAGATGATGAAACACGTCTTCGCGAAGCAGGTGCCATGACTTTACTGGATGGAACTGGCAAGTTTTGGAATGACTCTGGGAAGTTAAATCTAAAGGAGAACAGTTGTATAATTATGAATAGAGGCAGTATTTTGAGTTGTGTAGTAGTTTTTAATTTACGGTTGCATCTTATTAGATAATATCATGTATTTAATGCAAGTCTGCTAGTGATCTGCGGGTCTGTAGTCTAAGTTTGCTGGACACCAACCTTTAGCATTACACTGTATGTCCTCCACAATCGAGGGTAGCAACATTTCAATTTGCATTTTGAAACATGCTATAAAACGATTAATAGCTTGAACAATAAATTTAAAGTTTCATATCATTTTTTAAGAAATCTTTTTATTCCAAGGAAATTGAAAAACATCAGCTCACCCAGATTCTGAGACATAGCTTCCAGGGCCCAGTTCTCCAGAGGANTGCTATATTTTTGCCCTTTTCCATTTCTCCTCTTACTTGTTTACTTTATATTTATCTTTGTAATTTTAGAGTGGAATAAATAAATAAAATGAAAAATGAAAAAATACTAACTACTGCCATACATTACTAGTCTCTACTTTGCAGAGGCTTCCTTATAGAGAGAGGTGTGAGTATTCCCATGGAATTTCATTTCTCCACCCCCCTAGCCCCTGCACAGTCAGCATACAAGGTCACAACTACAGCAAAAAAAGAGGCCTCTTGAGGAGAGATAGAGAGAGAGGATATAACACAAGCCTTCAAACTTTCAAGAGAAAAAGGATAGTAATGCCATAGAAACTAGACATGATCTTTCTTTTTCTTAAAATTGAGCAAATTTAAAGAACTGAACTAAGAGAATTGATACAATGTATGATGACGACAATGATGATGATGATTCATTGTTTAATTCATGCTAACCTTTAGGTGGAGATTCTGAGCCTGGATCTGAATCAGATGATGAAACACGTCTTCGCGAAGCAGGGGCCATGACTTTACTGGATGGAACTGGCAAGGTTTGGAATGACTCTGGGAAGTTAAATCTGAAGGAAAACAGTTGTATAATTATGAATAGTAGTTTTATTTTGAGTTGTGTAGTAGTTTTTAATTTAAGGTTGCATCCCATTAGATAATATCATGTATTTAATGCAAGTCTGCTAGTGATCTGCAGACTGCAGTTTAAGTTTGCTGACACTGACCTTTAACATTATGTCCTCCACAATCGAGAGTAGCAACATTTCGTTTTGCATTTTGAAACATGCTATAAATTTAAAGTTTCATATCATTTTTTTAGAAATCCTTTTATTCCAAGAAAATTGAAAAACATCAGCTCACCCAGATTCTGAGACATAGCTTCCAGGGCCCAGTTCTCCAGAGGATGCCAGTGGATGAATCGGAGTGGATGGACGAGAGGTTCCTGCTGTAGTAAGAACACCACTGGCCAGAGTCACAGCAGTACCAATACCTCGTACTACAATGCCATATTCACCCTCAAGGTCAAAGCACTGTCGATAACTAGTCAGAGCATTGGAAAACAAAAAAGCAACTTTTAATTAGTGATTACCGACTCAGCAAGGTTGTAAATGTAAGTTGTTGATCAAGTGTGTGGTCATTATGACTGGATATTGGCTTTGAGACAAGATCAAGACAGAGTCAAGGTCCACAAACAAGCAAAAAAAACAATGAGGCATTAAGAACTATTCTGCCATCTTGACAGAACATTAGCTTGGTCAACAGAGGATTTATTATGTAGGATACGCTTCAGCTTCAGAAAATTTTTTTTTGTGGGGCACAGTGCATAATCCTGAGGAGGCAAGACAGTACCATCTCGCCCGCTCTGGTAGCCAATCACAGCACAGGATTTGGTTCCTCTTGCTTGTTCACAAGAGCCAGACATACTAATAATAACTATTCAACAAATCAAAAACAGATAATTGAAGTACAGCTTCAGCAAGGTTGTGTCAACCTATCCAGCCCTACCCAATAACTGCATTTCCTCCCGTCTCCAAAACTTTAAGACCAATCTTTCGCTGGAGTTCTCCTGTTTGGTGCAAAATGTGGAACAAGATAAATAAGGAAGCATCACATATATAGGCATGCAATGCATGAAAAAAGCTTCAGTTACATAGTTTCATTCCATGAATACCATGCTTATAGATGCTACGAGCCTCTAGCACGTCTAGAAAAACATTGTGCTCATTGTGTATGTCTTGAAGTCCTGTAAAACCACTAAGTACTACATAAACTCTTGATAATGCAGATAACATTCAAATATGCTCTAAATTTCCACCCTCAAATAGCTGTGTGCAAAAACTTGTCATTCTTACTTATTTCAGGATATGCTCTTCTCTATCGATAGTATGATTTTATTTATTATTAATTAAAACATTTTTTAATGGAAAGTAGTTCACATGATCCCAGGCTTCAAAATTAGCAGCTATATTACAGATTTGTTGGAGGCAATTTAAAAGTAGCCTTAACAGTTTAGTTCTAAAGAAAAACAAAATACAGTAACTTATGCTGTTAAGAACCTGAAAGTTTGGTAAAGAGTCTTTGACGTGCTTCATTAGAAGACCTTGGTGTTCTAATCTTGTCAATCCACTGGTATTCTGGATCATCATTAACAACCAGCTCCTCTACAAACCCATGAATGACAAGGGCTTTGAGGCCAAATGGGACAGAACAAGCTGAAATCATTGAAAGTTAACATTAATCTATAAAGACATGGAGGCAGCGTGGCCAAATGGTTTAGGGCACTGGTGTTGTAATCTGGAGGTCCCGGGTTCAAGGCCTCCGCCCTGCCACAAGCGGGATTTGTTTCTCGCTTGTCACGAGTTCAAATCCTCGGTCACGCTTTGTAAATAGCCAACTGGTCTGTCTCCTGCCAGTTGGGATTTTTAACTATGTTATGTTTATTTGAAATGTTTGTTTCCTTTGGTTCAGTGGTATGCCTGTAAATTAGCTAAGCTTAGTGCTTGTTTAATTTAGCTAAGTGCATGACCACTATAAATAAGATTTCCATTTCCATTTCCATAAAGACCTACTAGTAGATATAGTGCTACCTCAATAATCCGGTCACCAATGGGCCACAAAATTCTGGCTGTATTGTCGGGGTAGCCCTATTAAAGAGGTCCTTTAAATAAGAAAATTCATGACTGACCGAGCTTTTGTTCAGGCCAGAATAAAGTGGCCGTAATAACAAGGTGGATGTATTAATAGGTTGGCTGTAAGGCAGGGTTCTTCTGTATCACAATCATATTTTAGTTGTTACCAGGAAGTCAAAAATGATTAAACATGTGGTAACCAAATTAGAATCTTGAATTTACTCTATTGCCATCAAACTGTGCCTAAAAATACAAGTAGGATTATTTCCAGCTACTACAGATTATTTCCACTCACTATAGAAGAACTGGACACCACAAGAACTCTGCCTAAACTTGTTTGAATCAACAAAAAAGTCCACTTTAACAGTGACCTTGACTTCACCACGGATACCTGAAATTAGAACAAAACATCAGTTAACTATTAATATAACTTGCAAAATTGATGATAAAAACTTGCCTGACGGCTTAATAAAAGTTTGGGTGGTGAGCATGGTATAATAAGAACTGCCCAAAGGTGAAAAGAGACAGTAAATTCATTTGAAAAATTTAACCTAGATTGAAAAAAAAATTAACCTAGGTTGAAAACATAGTCATCTAAAATACATTTTAAACAGGCTTTTAGCCAGAAGCCACTTATTAAAGAAAATTGTTTTATTTTTCATATGTTGCCCAAGGCTTATAAATTGTTCATTTGAGCAGACCCTATTGCACATTTTGGACAGCCACTTTTCAAATCCTGGCTAAAAGCCTGACAGGAACACAAAATTAATGACCTGGGTTAGGCAATTTTATGCAGTCTCGAAACTTGTTTCATTCCAAAACCTTTATATGTAGTTTTTACAATAAATTATTTCTTAACATACCATGCATTGTATCATATATTGGAAACCATCCATCAATACTTCCAGGAGGATCTTGTGTCAGAAGAGGACCTAAACTAATGTTTACCTAGGAAATAATAACTACTTTTAACCGAGAGTGAGGTCTTTACAGGAAAATCTCAAACCAAGATCTTGCCGTATTGACCGAGTGATAGCAAGGTCAATGTGGGAAGCCTGAGGTTTGAGATTTTCCCGGAAGGACTGAATGTTCGAGGTTAACAAGTTGTTTATTAAATATATTTTGGCTTTTTACTTTGCTTTTGCACCCTGTAATTGGCCCATGGGCATTATGGGAGAATAATGCCCTAGAATTAGCCAATCAGAGCATGTGTTATATCAGCTACAAACACAAGCCATATATCACAACATCATCTAAATCTATAGCATTATAGAGAAGCTCTTTGTACACATTGCAGACCTATGATGCTAAGTAATAAAATGTCTTGATTAGATGTTTTTTCATTATTGCCCAGAAATCAATAAAAAATTTGACTTCCGGCAAGCATCAAAATTTAATTGCAGCTGCCTAAGGAAAGTATAGCCAGCGAAACAGATGGATTTCTGAAAACAAACAACAAAAGCTAGAAATCCACCTGTGCTTGCATGCTAAGGAAGGAAGTGTCTTCAAGGCAACATCAAGGGTCCATCAAAAATACTACGGCATAGCAGGTGTTAAAGGTTATGGCTGGTATTGACAGTCCTGGTTTGTTTTTCCATAATCTTACCTTTCCAATAGCATCATGGGCTGTCACAGTGTCATAGTCCATAATTCTATTAATGATCAAACAAAAGAACAAAATCTGTAAGTGGTGAGGGGCCAGAATGTCTATCAGAATAATTTGAAATATTTGACTTTTAGCCAAAGGTGAATTAAATTTTAAAAAAAGAATGACTAGAACTTTATAAAACTCCATTCATGGATGATGTAGGATTTGTGAAGGTTTGTGGAATTTTACCTGATCTGTAGTGGTTCATCTTGGAGTTCCTCATCATCAGCCTGGCAAAGAAAATCAAGATATATGCAAACGTACCATAATTATAGTTATGGTATCCTTTGTTTAAACTCGATGAATTATTAATGACTTTGAGAAGGTTATATTAATATTAATTCATAAATCGTACCTCAAACCTGAACCATTCAGAGTTCCAGAGAGGATTAAGTGATTTCTTGCATACATCTGTCTTGTATAATACATTACCAAGTCGAACCTGACAAAATCATTGAGCAGATTAAAAAACTGGCAGGAAATGAAATATATTTCACATGAATAGAAGAGCTGCAAGGAGCAATAACTAAGTAACATCAAATAATTTATATACTCAGGCTTGGAATCACATGTACATTTAAAAGCTTAATATATAGATTTAGCCAAGCCTAAAAGCAGAGTTCCTGGGCCAGGTTGTTCAAAGCCTGATTAAGCTAACCTAGGATAAGCAACAATTTTCAATTGAGTCTTGTAACTTTGTGGTAAGGTTTTCTATATTTGTTTGCTCTTCTGTTTTGAGTTTGAAGAATTTCAAAATACACAAAACAAAAGTAGTGAAAAACATTTGCCTACAAGAAAAATTTATACTTTTTATTTTTTAATTCTGAGTTAGCATTAACTGGCTTCCGAACAACCCGGCCCTTTTAACAACAAGTCAACCTGACATGATCCTGTGATCCAATCAAAACCCAGCACTTGGTCAGCAGTCAACTTCAGAAAACCATGTGACCTTGATTAGCTCTAAAATTGAGCCCATGATATGGTCATGTGATACTGGTCAGTGAATACCTTGTTTTGACAGGTGTCAATTGACTATAACATGGACGTAAGGATGTTATAAACCAAGGCTGCATGTCTCTTTCAACCTATTNGAGTTTGAAGAATTTCAAAATACACAAAACAAAAGTAGTGAAAAACATTTGCCTACAAGAAAAATTTATACTTTTTAACTTTTAATCCTGAGTTAGCATTAACTGGCTTCCGAACAACCCAGCCCTGTTAACAACAAGTCAACCTGACATGAGCCCGTGATCCAATCAAAACCCAGCACTTGCTCAGTAGTCAACTTCAGAAAACCATGTGACCTTGATTAGCTCTAAAATTGAGCCCACGATATGGTCATGTGATACTGGTCAGTGGATACCTTGTTTTGACAGGTGTCAATTGACTATAACATGGATGTAAGGATGTTATAAACCAAGGCTGCATGTCTCTTTCAACCTATTAGCTGGAGTATGGCTGCCAAGTTGGGCAGCTCTGGCGTCACTGTTATACATGAGGAATACCCCTAGCCATGATAACCATGAGAAAATCAATTCCTGGGTTTTCTTTTCTTTACTATAGAAGTATGGTCAGTATGGGGCTCTGTTTGGCGGCCCGAAACTGAGCTCCACTAAAAATAAAAGGTCATGTCCTAAGCACTGCAAACAGGTCATCAAAACAAACCGTGACATAAAGAGGGGGTAAAAATTCATTCCTTTATGATGTACATTTATATTATCCATAATGCATACACTTAAAGCGCCAGACATGCTTCAGCCATTTCATAAGCCCTTGTTTTCTAACAATTCAGTTCTTTATTTACCCTATAAAGGGCATTCACACACATTTTATACAGTAAAGTAATGAAAATAGTAAAATATTGAGAGATATGAAGCCGTAAAGAAATAAAATTCATAGAGGACGGTGACCAAAGTAGCAAGAGCTTTCTGGTTAGCGCTCGCTATAGTCAAATAAATGGCAGCATAAAAAATTAATAATAACAAAACAAAAACCACAATGTTTATAAATTTCTGACCTCTGCAAAAGCATCCGCCAAGTCACTTGAGCGATCCATGACAGGAAGATCTCGAGCAGCCACAATCCGTACTTTAATCTTTGCTGGCATTTTTTTGAGAACACTGCACTGTACTGTTGTGTAAAATGTCAGATGATGATGAATTAATTAAAGGTTTTCACTTTGCAGACACCCCAACGCAGATGTTTTTCGGGCGCCACCTTTCTTGCAAAGCTACCAGAGCTTCAGTTAATATCATTGTTGCTTCTAGTTTACCAAATCTTGCTCTTTCAAGGTTCTAAGGGCAGAAAGTCGCACTTCAATACAGCTGCAATAATTCATGTCTGCCTCTCAAAATACACCAGGCGTTACAACTTCCCAGAAGTCCTTGTAACCTAAGCACGTGTCGCTCCGCTGTAGTGGCCGCCATCTTGTTTTCGTTCAGCGTAGTAGTTTCCTCTCCGCGATAAATTTGACATTATGGCTGGCGAAGGAGGCGTTGATATCGATTTGTACGCCACAGTGGATNATCCTTGACAATCATCATTGTATATTCTTCTTTTTCTTTTTGATTTTCGCTACCATTTTAACTTTTTAATTTTTTGTGAGGGCTACTTCCAATAACTGATTCAAAAACCGGGTTGGTTCCAAAATTTCCTAAAGTTAACAGCATATCCCACATGACCCCTTCCAGACTTTACTTAGGTAAGTTTGAAAGACTTGACCTGGTGTGCCAAGAATTTTCCTTTATCTCCTTTTTCACAATGACATCATCTGCAAAAGCAGTTTGATAATACCATTACAATCTACAGCAGACATCAACAGATATTGTGACTGTCAAATCCATAAAGAAGGTGAATACAATTCCAAATAGTTGACATTGTTATTGTCATGAACTCTGGACTGCTACCAAAGTAATCTCTTGGGTTGGGCTATTTTCCTGGGTGAATATTAAAGTGTTCTGCAGCCATTTTATGTGGGTTATTTTTGTAGTTTTGAAATGCCTCCTTTTTCATACTGCCAACCAAATATGTTTTGTTGGGTAGATTTTAAAAAGGTTCTGCAGCCAGATCTGTATTCTGCAGGCAACATTTCCAAGCAATCACCTTCGATTGTTTACTGACTCTGTGTTACCTATACTCACAGCTCTTTCTGCTATTGAGTGACAATGGATAGCAGTGGGTTCTGGGCACGGGATGCAAGGAAGAATACAACAAACTTACAACAAAGAAATCTGTTAAACAACAGAGAAAAAATCTCATTTGTGTTTGGTCGATCTTTGTCAAAAAAAGTGTCTCGTGCAAATTTTGTAAGAAAGAAAAATATTTTGTGAAATATTTTGTAAAAGGAGACAGAAAAATATTACAGATAACTCTGTACCATAGTAAAACAATCACAAGAAAAATGAAAATAAATATTTTATTGCCCTTTATTTAAACAATAACTTTAATACAGAATTTGTAAAAATCTTTAAATTAAACTCAACTGTATTTTTGTTTATTTTGTACAGTAGAATGTTGTATATACTGGATAAATATTTAATTGAGATTAAATTATAGTAATTTATAAAAATATTTATAACTAACTTGTTGAAAAGAAAGATACTATTGTATAGGCAGACTACTATTGTAAGTTATAGCATTATGTTTGACAGACAGTTTCCTGAGAACCAGAAACTCTGGGCAGATGGAATTATATTTGGAAAGTGTATTGTAAATGTGTAGCTAGTGTTCTGATAAGAGATGAAACTGCTATTGTAAATAACTTGGCAACGTTGTTCTCACATTATTTATTCAATGGTGAAAAATGGACCTTCCATCCTTAAATTCTACTGTACATAGGTTTCTCTCAACCATTTAAGATGCAACCAAAAAGGTTCCACAAAAGTCAGTGCTCAGGCAGAAAGCAAGAACACTAATTAATTTGCAAAATTTTGTACAATTAAAAACATGCATCTTGTTATCTGCAATTTGTATGGGTAATCACATGATTACAAGTGCAATTTGGAATAATTAAGCACTAGTGAATTTCTTAAAGGCTAACAAAGTTGCATGAGCCTTGGCCAATTTACAAATAGTATTTGAAAAATTTACTAGTGCTTATTTATTCCAAATTGCAAGAGAATAATCATATGATTATTTGTTAATAATGCACTTGAAACAAGATTGTCTACACATTGTTTCCTCAGTCAGGCAATGTGCATGGTGTTCTCATACCTTCGAACATTTCTGAAAATATTTGCAAAACTTCCAAAAATGTTTGAAAGTCTTCAGCAAGCTTCAGATGATCTTCAGCACTCTTCAGAAATCATCGCAACTCTTCGCCAATCTTCGGAGATCTTTGGAAGGGTTAAGGTGATTGTGAGAGATGTTTGGGTGATATTTGTTGACGTTCAGAAGGGTTCAGGTAATCCTAGGAAGTGCTCAGAGAGCAGCTAATTGTCTTTGTCTATCTTCGGAAGGCCTCTGGTGAACTTTGACCACCTTCGAAAAACGTAGGATGAGCATCGGTAGTCTTAGAGTGTCTCTGTATTAACTTCGGATATCTTCATTGTAATTTGCACTCTTGTTTCAAATTTGGACTGGTGTTACATGAAAACTGCACCCCTTTTTAGCCAATCAGAATCGAGCAATTTCTTCAAGTGCATTATTAAATTTGCAATGCACCAAGGTGTGATTCATACATGTGCATGAAAATTGCATGTAGGGATGTAAGAGGTGTTGCTGTAAGCACATGCAATTCACAGTCCTTGCAATGTTATATAAATGCAAAAGAATGACAGCTTCAGTACTTGCAGGGTAAAAATCCAGCAACCTTTCTTAATCTGTGGCAGATGGCAACCTGTGGGTTGGTTTTCTTTGCAGTTTCACCTGGCCTCATATCAGTGGCAGTACAATACATGTTCCAAAAATAATTCCAGTGGCTTGTAGATTTTCTGGTTTTTACTACTGTACATGTATGTAACAGGAATATTATACATGAGTGTATTAAGCTTCACAGCACGCTTTACCCTATATGGTAATCTGCCTTCCTTGCAAAGAGAGTAATCTTGTAAGATTTGGGGCTTGTTTCTGGTTGTAAATTAATGTGTATTCATGTAGTCTACTGTGGAAATAAATATTCTGCCATTACCAGTGTGATACTAACAGTTTGATGACTTAACCATACCACGACTGTGTACTTTGAGAACAATTAGCGTGACAATGTGTGTGTTTCTTCGGTGGCCATGGATGTTAGGACAAACTCTGCTTTTTGACCGTTGCCAAATGTTTTAGGATCTCTTTGATAAGTTGTGTCAGATCTTACACATTTCATCACACGTTGAGGCAATCAAATTTATCTTCTGGACTGTCTTTTTCGTGGGATTCATTTTTTATCTCATATTCATTAATTTCTTTGTGGAACAAAGATGTGATCAGGAACGTTTCGTGACCGTAACATGTAAAGTAAAGCACACCAGTTCACAATTTAAGTTTTTTTGAGATCATAAAAATATCAGTGCATTTACTCCCAGAAGAAGATTCCTTGCGAAGCCCTCTTTTGAGAAATTATTTTGCAACATAGCTAGGGTGTGTTTGACAAGAACTGAGTTCATTATCAATCTCAATTGCTCCACTTTAAAGTAGCCATATTGTCTACAGATTTGGTTTGCTGTAACGAGGATTTGTTTTAGATTATCTATAACTATACATTTTTGCACTTACCAAAAGGCTTGACAGCCGTTACATTTTGGGTTACTGACCAGTAAACGATATCTTGATTGCAAAGATTTCAACATGGAAGATACTGTCATTGAATAATTTCACCATCTCTTGTATGGGTGTACAAGTACCTGTTGAATGTCTAAAATACAGACCTTTTTCAGTCAACTTTGTCAGTGCTTTTGACAACTACAAGAACAGGACTTTTGTTACAAGTGTGTTATAATATAAATCTACCAAGTGTACAATGTAATTGGGTATTTCAAAGAAAGCAGTTATTTGCCAGAGTGCTTGGTCCTTTCTATACAAGTGAGTATTGCTATTGTGTTGGATACCATGAATGGTGCGTTAGTTTTTACATTGCCATGTAAACAAAAAATATATATTTCAAGTATGTTTGGCTCAACTCGTGTGACATTTAATAATTCAAGGTAGGTAGGCATTCCTCGAGAAAGAGGTCAATTCAGGCAGATTTTTTGCAGCTCACATACACAAACTGGGAAACGCACAAAATCAAAGTCACCAATTTTGGAGCATGTAATAGATTGAGATATCTGCCCATGACCATTATTCCACAAATTACTGGCTACTGGTAATTGTGTTTTATAATTGACTTTTTGACTTACTTCTTTTCATTTCTCAGCTTTGCAATGATCGAGCTTGGTTCTGACACTTCAGTTCAACTTGTCACAGAAAAATTACCAAAAATGTAGGTATATCCATATTATTGCCAGCTGAAGAAGAAACTAATTAGATTATTGAACTTAAGCCCTTCAAATCTAGGGAGCTTGTGGTTTATCTTCCACCTGAATTATGGGCTGTCAGGGCCATAGCCAGAAAAAAATGTTATTATCCATGAAAATATCATGACTGAGGCATTGTCCACAGTTAAATTCTCTTAGGTATTTAGGAGTTTATGGTGACTATAAACAACAAAAATGAAAATAAAATAAAAATATGATCAAGGCAAGTGGCTCGGTTTGCCTGTCACTAGCCATGGCCCTGGCTGTGGCTTAATCATATTGAGCCTTCTTGGGTCACATGTGCGATGGTGGACTTAAAATGCCCACACTGATTTCAATCTTCTCTTACTTACTTCTATATTACATTTATTAGCTATGGCTTTCAAACTTTGCCCAAAATATTAAGTTATCTACATATTAGAGGAAAACAAATGAGTGCCAAATCTTGATGATAGTATACAGGGTACTGGAGGACTGTGGAGGACCCCCCAAGTTTTGTGACTTATTTTGCCTCCTTGTTTGACTAGTTTGTGGAGTGCCTTCTCTTGGATTCTGGTTACTAATGAAATTGTCTTGCATTGGTGTGCCATGACAGTTCAACAGGTCTATTTTCTGTTTTTATTCAGGGAGGTTCATGGACAATATCCAGTTGTAACACCAGCAACTAAACAGTACTTACAGCAGTTTGAAGCTCAGTCGAGGAAAAGTAAGATCAAGAATACAGCTACATTTTTCAAAGTAGTATTTCTGCAAAATTTGGCTTGTCGACACCACAAAAGTGTTACTTAACCTCATCTTAATTAGGGAAAACTGCATTTACAGTTACTTTCAACACCAATTTTCATTACGTATGCAAATTTATGTGTTGAAAGTAAATGCAAACAAGGCTTTTCGTGGTCACGATGATGTTGATGTAGTAAAACTAAATTAATTAGCTTAATATTAAAAGGCACAAGACTTTCATCCTGCAAGCTTTAAGAAAACTCAACATAATTCAACATGTGATCTAATTGGTTGTACCTGTAATCTTCACCCCTAATGAATAGAAGCATCCTTGTGTGCTCAGGATAAATTAATGCTTGAGTAATTTGAAGGCTGCATTTTGAAGCCAAGAGAATACTAAGGTAAAGGCGAATATGACTTCAGTAATGATCATCCTATAATTTCCCCTAGAAATGTTGGAAATTAAGAGCTTGAAAAAACAAAAGTTGGCTATATGTAATGGAAATTACTTCTAACCCCTCCCCCAACCCAAACTGTATACACTGAATAATCTGAAAATCTTTTTCTCTGTTAGAGCTATTAATAATTCTTCATATTGATGGTAATGGCCATTTAACTTTTAAACATCAACTTTTGCAGATAATCCTGGCACTATGGGAGGTTCACATGCAGAGCAAGATGGCCCAGGATTTCAACAAGGCGGCAGAGGGTTTGGTTACAACCGTGGAGGTTTCAGAGGGCGTGGTGGATTCCCTGTGCGCCCAGGAATGGGACGAGGGTTTGAGCATGGACCACCTCCAGGAGAGATCCATGGACATGGGCGTGGAGGGCCCTGGATGGGTAAGGAGGGTCGCTGATATGTTGCAAGATCAATTTTTGTTTTTATGTCCTCCGAATGAAACTGCTCTGGCACTGGCCCTGTTTTGCAGACTCAGAGTGCCATTATGATAAGAATTTGTGCCATTTTGGTTGGAAGTTAGAAAAAGTACTCCCATAAGAGAGAGACCATTTTGTTAATTTCCCTTAAGTTTTGGTTCTGATATCCGGAAATGTAATCACAGGTTTTATTCAAGTTTACAACTTCACTTACAGTTCGCACTTCTCTCAGTAATTTTCTGCCCATGTTCCTTTGTCACGTGACACTCGCTCCCTAAGTTATCGCTCACCACTAACTTCATAACATAAGTGAGAAAGAAAAAAACTGTTTTTGCCTTGTATCAAGCCACAAAATTTCCTGTAACTTTCCTGGGTGTGACTGTCATCACTGTATAGCAAGTCTGTGATCTATCTTTGTCTTGTTGTTTTGCAGGACCAGGCCATATGGGAATCCCAAGACATCCTGCTCCTGGAATGCCACCTTTCCATGGTGAACATCCTCCTGCGTACTACCCAATGGCACTCCCTCCCCCTGGGGAGAAGCCGCTTGGTCCAATACCACCTCAGGCACCACCGGTAAGAAAGCGAATTGAGATGTTGTCCAGTGACATCCACGTTGTCCAGTGACGTCACTGTAAGTATTTTTATTTGACAGAAGTTGCTGATTTGTGTTTGTCTTTTTCTAGCAACCCCCGCCACCTGGAGCTGGTTCTATGCCAGATCACAGAGGACCAGGTATGTAGTTATGTTATTTATTGGTAACAGCATTCCCCTTGATTAAGAACTGCCCTTGAAGAAGCACTGCTCTTGTCTGCAAAGAGTTATACAAGTGGTGCATTTGAACAAGCCCTGCAACCCTTAACAACGTGCTGCTTGTTCAAAATACTTGAGTTCTATAGCAGCACTTACCAGTATTCAAAGAGGTTTGCACCCCTATGCATCTACTTCAGGGTGGGGGGGACAGGCACTAGGCGAATTGACAGGCTGTGAGGATGATTTTGTACACTTGGTTTGACCATCTAGGGAAAAGTTTATTTTTAAAGGAATTTTGGTTCAAAATGTTCTGCCTGGCTGTGAAAACCACTTGCCCTCCTGGTGAAAATGTTAGTGAATCCCCTGATCTACTTGATTCTGATAATTTATGTTAAAAAGAGTGACCAGGACATTTTGATCGGAATATGAGTTGGTGATGCTATCACTTTGGATATAAATGATAGTTATCTCTTATTCAGAGAAGTTTCTCATTAAAATGTTAGTAAGCTGGATGCTATTGAATAAACGCCACATAAAAACCTTAAAAGTTAGGAAGCCATGTGGTAATGTTTCAAGAAAATACACTTAAACTTGTTCTACTTGCCACAACCCAGTACAGCATAGATGTTTTGTATTAAAGCTCTTATCGATTCTTTACAGGCATGGTTCCACCATTCCCCAAGGCTCCTGTTGCACCGCATGTGAACCCAGCATTTTTTCCAGAAGGGCCACCAGTAAGTTTCTTGGGAGTAAATTGAAACGGAACTTAAAAGTGATGTATGATTTACCAGTTTAAAGAGAGATTCAAAGGCTACCCATTAACTTTGTAGACCATTACGTGACATGCAACAGTTGGAAAATGGATGCCATTATAGTGATATTTAAACTTAGAGGACATTATGACAATGTGGAAAGGCTCAAAAGAATTCAGACGTCAATTAAAGGGACCTGTTTTCTTTTTTTGTCAGCCAGAGACATTCCTTGCAGCTGGGGGTGCTGGCGTAAGTCGTCAAATGGACATGATGGCACAGTTTATGCCGAGACCAGGTACGAAGTACTCGGATTTGCATTTAATTTTCTGTTATTCGTTTTCTATTGAGAACTTGTCTTCCATTCGATCTTTCAGTCTCCTGATCTGTCCTCCTTTGTAAAATAACTGAGAAATAAAAAATTCCATTTGGCGCAAAAATATGCACAAATTATTTTTCCAGAGACGTTATCTGTTTTCAGAAGGGTATCGTTTTTGGGAAGTAAAGCAGGGCGGAAACTGTGGGGGAGTAAAGCTGGAGGGAAGCTGTGAACTTCACTAAACACAGATAATGTCTCTGGAAAAGTATTCTAAGATATCCCCACTTGGTCGGGGATATCAGAGATTATAATCCATCAAATATTTCCTGCTCGCGTGCGATTTTCGAGCGATATTCCCCAATTTTTAAAAACCGCGCGTGTTGCAAAAAAATTTTGAACAATAATAAACACAACAGGCTCCATTTGGCGCGAAAATGTGCTCGGATATTTGTCTTGGGACATTATCTGTTCCTCAAAGCTCAAAGTTTTCCTCGAACTACGCTCTCGGAAAACTGTTCGCTCCCGAAACAGGTAATGTCCGCGGACAAATATCCGAGCATATTTGATTTCTGCGCTAAATAGAGGCTATTGTTTAAATATTGTGTCACGTGACGTGTTGAGCAATCACCAGTGTGAAAACTTTTTTGATGGATCGTAGTTACCTGTTTTTTGGCCTGAAGTTTTTCAACCTTGCCAAACCATCATTTTGAGAAGTTTCTGTTAAGTTACATGTACCGACATGATGTCAGATTATCGTCTTATTTTTTAGGTGATGATTTCAACGAGTCCATGAAGAGAAATCAGATGCTTGCTAGCAGCGCCATCAAACGAGCTATGTCGGATGCCAATGCTGGTAAGCTAGTATGCTTTCCCTTCCCCTGGAACAAAGCCCTAGTGCTGTTTTTAACTGTGTGTCTCAAGTAATCCAGAATTACTTTGGCATTGCTTTACTCCGCTCTGTGATTGGTTATAAAAAAAAAAAGCTCGTTATCTACTTGACCAATGAGAAACAAAAGTAATTGCGACTTGGCTGCATGCGTTTTCCCGCGCTTGGAACCGGTTTCGTCGATTGGTCATTCGGGTTACACACAGTTAAATACTGCTCCATGATGTAATGGGAATGTTATCCTTTGGCCCTTAATATGTTGAATTTCTTGTACAAAATTGGAATCGTCAATTGGATAAGTAACTTACTGAGTTAATAGAGGTGAATAAATGAAAGATCATATAGGTCAATCATGTCTTCATAATATTGTATGGGTACCGAGCGAGGTGCTGGGATTTAATTGTGCATTGCTTGTGAAATAGGCGACTACGAGAGTGGAATTGAAACATTGGTTGGAGCAATATCGCTTATTAAACAGTCACCAACAGCTGCGGAAGAACGATGCCAGGTAAGAACCTAAACGGTAAATGGTTTGAACCCAGGAGTATCAGTAGTTTGTATAGTGTGATCGTCTGGGTGAGAGTAGTTCTGAAAAAAATTGTTGTTTATTAAAAAATACAACGATAATAACGACAACATTAACAGTCAATTAAAATAGGAGGTTTGTGAGGCAGACGCGAGCTTTCGGCTATCCGCTTTCCGCAATAGCTGGGGTCGTCATTATAATAGTAAACTGGCGAAAACCATGTTACTGAGAAAGCCAGGCGGTAATGCAAAGTTTCAAGATCACATGACAGGATGTCAGAAGTTTGTTATACAGTATAGTCAAACTTCAATGAAGGGTCCACCCTCTGGGAATAGACAGGTAGCTGCTTGTTAAATTCCTCCCAGAAAGAACCATCTGGTATAGTACAAACTCTGCTATTTATGATCTAACTTCTATTAAAGGTCAGGTAGCTGTTTGTTAGGTTCCAGCCAGAAAAAAGCATCTGGTGTGGTGGAAACTCTGTTATTTAAGTGCCAACGAATACGCATGGACGCTAGAGAGAACTGCACTAAACAGTGAAAGCTTTGGCGCGTGGTCTTGCTTTTCTTTGCGCGTAAAGGATGCGGTCGGTTTATGTGTACGCGTATTTTGTGTCAGGTGCTTGTTCAGTCGTTACAAGATTGTCTTCAAGGACTGGAGTTACAGCTGCTAGAAAGAAGGTAAGTATCTTTTGTTGCTGTTTGTTTTTAACACGACCTCGCGAGCTTGGAGCTTAAAATATTATCGTGCGTAAATAAATGCCATCTATCTGCCTATTCAAAAACGAAACAATTTGATGGCTTTATTGTCAGAAATTTCAAGTTTTCTTTTGTATCACCTTGGACGCTTTAAAAGTATCTACGTCACGGTTCGCGTATCTTGAAAAATTAGCCCAAATTTTTCAAGTTCATCGTTTGCAATCCTTGTTAATCTTCTCCATCCTTAACCATCCTTGTTCTTTTATGGTTTATTTTAAACATTTTAGTGTTTTTCTATATTAGTAAACAACTTTTTCAGTTTTCCTTCAATTTAAAGGTAATTTTATAAGTGATGAAAATGACTCAAAATGCCGTGATTGAGCTCCTTTAAAGAGTACGTATGGTTTGGAGAACCCCTAGTTTCACCAGTAACAGTGCAGTGCGTTTGTTTCTCAGTGCAGTCTTTGTTGCCCCTGAATTACGTTGTTTGACGATCGGTCAATTTTATTCCAGGTCGACGGGGAGTAAACATCATTTCAGCGACAAGGATGACTACGAAGGCGAGCCGAGAGAAAAACGACACAGACGAAGACGGTCGCGGTCAAGATCGCGTGACAGGAGCCGCAGGTCAAGATCACGCGAGAAGCGCTCGAGATCACGTGACCGAGATCGTCACCGCCGAAGATGAAAAGCCCCGTGTGAAGAATGTTTTTTTAAGTCGTCTGATGCTGTGGTCGAAACTACACTTTGTAACCCCATGCTGTATTCAGTCGTGTAAATTCTGCTCCCTTGTAAGATAGTGTAGTCTCTGATCTTCGCCGGCGTTATATAGATTGTCACGCAACGCTCCTCGCCACAAGCAATGATTGGGGATAAACGTGGCGTGGCAACTCATGCGATGGCTGCGAAGGAGATCGAATGATTCTCTGCCTTCTTTACGGCGCTCGTCTCGTTCACAAGCTGCCAAACTAGTGTTGTTTGACTGTTTTCCTTTTTGCTCCATTTCCGAAGTGGTTATAGCCTTTCGGATAGTTGCTAGGAATTTTTTGCTAACCTCTAGAGTCGTAAATCACTTTTAAGAAACCCTTCAACGTGTCTCTATTTCTCTGTTTATATACTATTGGTTTGTGCACGAACTCTCCTTTTTTTTACCAGCCTTATTTGAGGTTAATAAAGAAATGTAACTGATAAACAGAAGAGTTTTATTCTGTGTTCGCTTGAGATCTTGTCCGCCGATCGTTGGCACTGACCAAAAGATAAAATGTGTTAAGAGATCGTGTTAATCTTGCCTCGGGACTCGTGCGTTATCGTCAAACCGCCCATACCGCAGGCGAGATCTTCCGGCATTAATGAGGCCTTCTCTTGTCCCCAGGGGCCGTTATCAGTATTGCTTCACTCAGTAAAAGGCGCGAAACAAGA